CATATTTCAAGACACAGATTAAATGTCACTTCCTTTGAGGTTTTCCCAGAGTCTTAAACTAGAGAACACCTTGTTTTAGGAATCCATTAATTCTTCTATCGTCTTTTGTTGTAGTATCTTCTAATTAGCGAATGCCTATATACGGACCAGGGAAGCAAGGGTTGTGACTACGACTGTGTTACTCTTCACCACGTGAATAAAAATAGTCTTGCTTTACCCCCCTGGCTTCCCCCAGCCCCTCAGGGGCAACCTCTTTTCAATACTTGCTGTTTATAATTCTTCCAGTGTTTTCTTCCATAACCCTAAGTAATATACTTACTATTTCTTGGTTTATTAACTGAGATAATAACTGATTTCCTACAATGAAACATAATGATTTAATTTACTCATTTGATTCCCTCTTCTTTTTCCATTGCTATGTTTTATTTTTAGTTCTTTCACTGGATTATCTTTACAATTGTAAATTATAAACTTAAGCCACTATTTTTTGGGTACACTTTAGACAGTTACAGCTATGGATTGGATGTTTAGATATCTTTTAAAGTCATATACTGAAAACTTAATCTCCAAATGTGAGAGTATTAGGTGATGGGCCTTTGGACATGAGAATGGAGCCTTCATAAATGGAATTTGTGCCTTGATAAGGGGCTGAGGAAACCACCAAGTGAGGACACAACCAGAAGGTACCATTTATGAAGCAGAGAGTAGCCCCTACCAGACATCAAATCTTCTGGTGTCTTGATCCCAGACTTCCCAGCTTCCAGAACCATGAGAAATAAATTTATGTTGTTCATAAGCCACCCAAGCTATGATGTTGTATTATAGAGTTATTCTGGATTCTCATCAAATCAGATGGTATTAGTGCCTCATCACCTCTTATCTTTTCCTTTTTGCTTTCTGAATTTTGCTAGTCCTACCTTCAATTTTACATCATCAGATTTATTACATATATATTCCATTTTATAATCATACTTTAGTATTTCCTTTTGACTATAGTTTAACTTTGAAAGTTGAAAACAAATAAACAGTTTGCATTATTTTGGCTTTGTAATGTTTGTTACTGTAGAGCTACTGGGGCAACAGATTTCTATTTTTTTCTCTGTGGTTTCAATAGTCCCAGTTTTTTTTTCTACTAGAAATAGAAATGTGTCTAGTTGTAAGGTCAAATTTTCAGTGGCTTCATTTTTCTTATATTTTATTGATTCTTTCCCATCATGTCACAATCATGCTTAATATTTGAATCATGATTTCTTCGCATAGTTTATTTTCTGATTTTGTAATCATTTTTTAGGTGACCTGTTGCTCTTTCTAGAAATCTCTGGGATCCTTTTATCTTTTGCATCCAAAAATTTCACAAAAACTTGTCTGACTTTTTAATTAAACCATTCATATTGCTGAATATTCAGCAGGTACTTCCAGTTTGAAGATTTCTGTATTCTATAGCCCTGAGACATTTTCTTTTATCACTTATTAACTAATTTTTGTCCATTATTTTTTCTGTTATCTTTTCCTTCCTGTTGAATCTGTATATCTTTACCTTTTGTCTTAGTTTTTCTTTTTCTTTTTCTTTTTTTTAAATAGGGGGAAATTTACTTTCTGGGAAATGCTTTCAACTTATTCTTTCAGTAATTTGTAATTTTAAACTATTTGATTTGCTTTTTTTATGGTAGTCTATTTTTATCTTATAGTTGTAATTTCTCCTTGGATACTACTTAGATTTTTTTTTTTTTTTTAGTTCTGCTGTGATTTCTAAAATACTTATGTTTCCTGTTGAGTATATTATTTCCTGAGTATATCCTCTTTCAAGGTGCTGGTTTTCCTCAGATGTATGATGATTCTGGTCATAGTTTCACATGTAAGGATGAAAGACCAAGCTGTTTATTCAGGACTGCTGGAGACAATTCACTCTGCTCTTGACTAAGTAGGTTTAATTCTTCCATAGGCTTCTTGCTGGAATGGGAAGTATGACAGATAGCTTTGTGTTAGTGGGAAAAGCTCTTTGGCTGCTTTTATTTTGATTTTTATTTGAGTGGGAGTCTCACTCTGTTGCCCAGGCTGGAGTGCAGTGGCACACTCACAGTCACTGGAGCCTCGACCTCCTGGGCTCAGGCAATCCTTCCACCTCAGCCTTCCAAATAGCTGGAACTACCATGCCCAGCTAATTTGTTGATTTGTTGTAGAGATGAGGTCTCACCATGTTTCCCAGGCTGCTCTCAAACCCATGGGCTCAGGCAATCCTCTTGCCTTGGCCTCCCAAAGTGCTGGGATTATAGGTTTGAGCCACCACACTCGGCAGTGAGTTTGCTTTTAAATGTCATAATGGTGGGCTAGGCATCTGACTAGCCAGTCTTCCTCTATTTGAATATTACATTGAGGAGATCTTTGTTCTGGGGAACCCATATCCATACTCTAAGTCTTATTCTTTCCCGAGAAAATCCATGATTTTTTTCTGTACACACACACACACACACACACACACACACACACACACACACACACGGTATGCAAAGACTTTAGTGTCCCTATTTATCATCCCTTTGTTTCAGTAGTGCCAGCATGTTGCCTGGCTCTGAGCAATAATTGTTTCAAATGACCATGTAATAGTAATATGTAGCTTTTATGTATTTGCTTCTGAGGGATCACCACTCATTAAGATATGCTCTCTGTGTCCAAGCAGCTAGTAGATTAGCTTCTAATGGAAGAAACAAATCACTATAATAGAGAAGTGTGATAACATATGTTTGTACAAAGTGCTGGGTATTTTTACTGGTTATCCTTGGATGAGTTTTCCTCTTTGCCAGTTTCCTCCCCTGTAAAGTGGGCATAATAGTTCTGACCTGATAGGATGTTTTTGAGGATTAAATAAATTAATATATATAAAACACTTCAGTGATGCCTCCCATTCAATACATATTAGCTCTTATTATTATTGCCTTTATTTCTTGATGTGGCCTTGAACAATGAGTTCATAGTCAGAGACTAGGCAGATGGTTATTGCTGGGAAAATACACATTGTGCACAAGGGAGCAGAGGTATAAAAGTGCAGACACATTTAGATAGAGGAGAGTGGTTGAAGATGACTGGATCACAGGGTCCGAGGGCATTTGCCAGAATAAAACTGGAAAAGGAGCTGGGTAGATCCCAGGAGGTCTTGAAAACTTACGAGGGAGCTGCTTATATAGTTGTCTGTCATTGTATTCTGGCTCAAGGTACTGTATGCCTAGTGACACTATTAATGAAGTTATGGACTCTCTTACATACATAATTTTTAAAACTTCTGGAGGTCCCACTTAACAGGTGGAATGGACAAATTAGGAACATTAAGGATATATAGAAATGTCTCTCTGAAGAAGACAACCAGGGAGGTGACAACATCGAAAATAATGAAAAAATATGTAGCCTAGAGTGAAGGGAGGGGTTAATTAGTCTTATGTAAGAGAGTTAGATTTCTAGGTAAGTTTGAATTATGGAATTTCATTCAATGTGTGGAAAGTATAGAAAGGCAGGTTTGGGAAAGACATGAGGATGGGTTTTCTAATCACAAAGCTGTCATAAAATGTAGCAACCTGCTCTGTGAGACAGTAAGTGTCCAATCACTGGAGAAGCCCAAGCAAACACATAAGTGTTGACGAAGGGATAGGGGAAACTTCTGCCTGGGGTGGGCCCATATTATCTAAGGTTTCTATCAACTCCAGGTGTCTATGTGTACCTGACCTCCAAGCCAGGACCCTCTGCTATGTTTCTCCAGTTACTGTCTCAGCATCTTCTCCCGGCTCCCTCCGTAGGTATATGGTTTCACTTTGCTTTAGAAGTTTCAATACTGAAAGGAAGAACTGGTTCAGTGAAAACAATCAGGCTGGGACAAAGATTTTAAGACCATTCCTGTTGGCCATACCATTGGGATCTCTACCCGACTCAGGCCCCCAAACAGCTTCAGAAAACCTTTAGTCAGCTGGGTGCAGTGGCTCAAGCCTGTAATCCTGGCACTTTGGGAGGCCGAGGCAAGAGGATTGCCTGAGCCCGTGGGTTTGTGACCAGCCTGGGCAACACAGTGAGACCTCGTCTCTACAATAAATCAAAAAATTAGCCGAGCATGGTGGTGCGCTTCTGTAGTTCCGGCTACTTGAAAGGCTGAGGCAGAAGGATCACCTGAGCCCAGCAGACTGAGGCTGGGGTGGCCGTGAGCAAGGCATTGCACCCCAGCCTGGGCGATGGAGTAAGACTCCAACTCAAAAAAAAAAAAAATCTTTAATCCACAGCTTCCCACCCTGTGATTGCACATGACCTTCATTCTTTCCAAATATCACACTGTATTTCCTAATCCCAGTCATCCCTCTCCCTCTGCTTTGCTACAAAACCCCCAGTCCCTCCCTGGCGGGCTTGGAAGGTTCTTACAAATATCCACTTTCATTAAACCCGGTTGAACAGAAAAGACAGGGTATGCTGGATCCTTCTTTCAGATCCAGCTCCTACTTGATCCATCTTGGCTTCTTTCAAGCCTCCATCTGAGAAATAGAGCTACTTTTTAAATAGTTGCTCTCATGCTTGTACCTAAAAGTTTCCAAGCTCTCCAGTCATAATTTTTCATTGTGAAGCCTTTTACAAGTCAAATCTCTTCCTCAAAGATTCATGGGTTCGCAAGACAGAAGCAAGCATGGAAAGCTTCAAACAATGCTACCTTGAACAGATGCTTGGGAGCTTGTATAAGTCTTCAAAGGATAAAATTAACATGGTATTGCCACAGGAAGGTAGGGAACCTGAGGAAGCTGGAACGATTTCTTCAAAATCTGGCCAATGATCCTTGCTGAGGATGCTGATTTGCCCTCTGTTTTATGCTGGACTTTCCAAAATAAACACTTTGCACAAAGAGCACTAATTGCTTCATTTATTCTTCCATTTACCCAGGGAAACATCAGAGCTTATTCAACCTCAGAATGGAAAATTACATGTTGGAGAGAAAATAACCACACTGAAGAAATGACAATGCAATTCAGGTTCTGCTTGTTCATATATTTTATTTATCCAGTGAAGGAAGAAAAAAAAAAAAAAAAAAAGACAGAACTCTAAGGTGGCACAATTCTGAGAGAATACCAAGGTCACATATTCCATTTTTCTCAGTCTAATTCAAATTCACAGATTAAATGAGAGTGTAAGGAATGAGATGCACATCTTGCTGGAGAATAAAGCATCTTGCTTGAGAATGAAAACCCCTTCAAAGGTTAATATCTATCCAGGTGTTTCTTATTTGAGGATGGCTTACTTTAGTCTTTATAAAAAATATGATAGCATTGTACAAACTGCTGGGGTTGGATATTTAAGTGAAGACTGCTGACTCAGTGACTTTCCAAGATTCTGAGAGAATTCCACTGTGGTGAGTGAGAGTCACAAAAACATCATAAACATCCATGGGAGAAAGACTCAATGACACATGGCAAAGAAGGAATCTCAGATGTTTGTGCAGGGAAGGTTCTCATATATCACAGTCCAGGACTACCACTATACAGTTGGGGAAGTTGAGGCCTAGGAGGTTAAATGATTTCCCCAAATCACACAGTTCACACCAAAATCACACCAAAATCATGTAGAAAACTGGTTTTCCTGGTTTCTAATTCAGTGTTTTCAGGTGTTGCATAAGTAGATACTTCTAATATTAATTTATTTGCCAAGATTCTGATGTTGCAATTTTGGCTTTTTAGAAACATTGGAGAAAACAAAAAGATTTGTGGCCACTACTGATAACTTTATATCCAGTCTCAGGAATCTCTGTCAAGATATGGTTAAAAGACTCTTATTAGGGTCAAAAATCAGAGAATTCCATGTTTCTATGAACACACATGACAAGATCTTACACATAGTGAGACAGGAATGGAAGACAGCACCACACAGGACAGATTAGAAAAAACACGATTAGAAAATAAAATGGAACATGTCAGCTGTCAAGGGGCTGGTCTAAACTGTTTGGAACTTTCAAATAGCACGGAAGATCACACAAAGTCACAATATATGAAAGAGGAGTTCCAGAGTACTCCCGGGGGCACACAAAAGCACCTGTCCTAAGCAGGTGGATGCAGGTGCACAGGTTGGCAGCTGTACAGGTTGACACATGGTACAGCCTCCACCAGAGCCACCTGAACTGAGCGAGTGTGAGTTCACACACAACGCTGCCCACAGCTGAACAAAGCCCTGGGGCAGGTCAACATTCTCATCACCTCAATCACGGGCCTGCTCTTTTTAATCATGTGTGTAAATCAGACAGGGAGGACCTGGGTGGAAAAGGTTTCAGGTTGCCGATAGAGGCTGGACATTTTGAACCCTGGACAAAGTGACTGGAATCTTTGTTTCCCCTGGGCCCGGAGCTTTTGTAATGGGCTGGGTGTGGGCTTTGATGTCTGCTATTCGCTCTTTAAACTTTTGTTGTAGGAATTTCTCTTCTTTGGAGTAGCTTTTTGCAAACACTGACATCAGCAGGCACCCCGCCATGGACGTGCCCCCAATGCAGAAGAGAACGGCTCCTGCCAGCTTGTACATGTCTAGGGCACCATTAAACTGGACAGCATGTGTGTCAACCATCACAAAATCAGCTTCACCAAATGCTTCAATTTTGGGGGGCACAAGAAAGCCCACTGCCAGAACAGTCAATCCAAGAATGACAAAGACTGCACCTGAGATGAGTCCGACCTAGAGAAAGATAACAATAAAACAAGATAGAATAAGAAAGGTGTTTCAGCTTTCCCCTGAGTCCTTAATGTCAGGACTTATCTTGTTTCTTACTCCAACTGTGCTCAGGAACCCCATATTTGCAGGAACACCTACCTAATTTTCCAGTTAAAAAAGGTGAAAGGAAGACCTTTCTGATTTTAATGCCAACCCAAAACTGCAATAGAGTCTTGTATTTTTTATTTGTACAGTGCTTTGTAGTTGAAAAAACCTTCTTTTGCTTACATGGTCCTCATTTTGCCGTTTTTCTTTGTTCGTTTTGATACAGGGTCCCACTCTGTCACCTAAGCTGGAGTGCAGTGGCATAATCACAACTCACTACTGCCTTGATCTCCTGGGCTTAAGCCCTTCCATTCCAGCCTCCCTTCTGAGTAGATGGGATTACAGGTGTGTACCATCATCCCTGGTTAATTTTTTGCTTTTTTGTAGAGATGAGATCTCACTATGTTGCCCAGGCTGGTCCTGAACTCCTGGGCTCAAGCAGTCCTCCTGCTTGGCCTTGCAAAATGCTGGAATTACAGGCATGAGCCACTGCACCTAGCCTCATTTGGTTTTGAGAAAGAGAAAAGAAGCCCTGATATCTGGGAGTTGGCCTGACTCTACCCCCGCTCCTTGATGTTTTTAGAAACTGACTAGAAACTCACAAGGCACAGTCTCACAGAACATTATCACATGCTCATTTTGTGACCATGATGAGGGGAACAAAACAATGCACCTTCATAATTTTGTCTAAGCACAGACAAAATCAAGGCCATTGTGCAAACCCTAAAATGTCAAAGGCCCCCTCTCTGGCTAGTATGCATTACTGCTACTTCTTTCTCCATTACGGCCTTAGTCTTACTCTAGTCTGTCCTCCCTATACATAAGACTTATTAAGATAGCAAGATAGCAAATCATAGTATTCCTGACAATCCAGAGTTAACTCTTGCTTCATTGAACCCTAGCCCAAATCATCCAGCCAAAGCCCACATCCTGTAATATTTCCTTTTTACTATCCTAGTGAAATGTCCCATAGTCTCCTACGCCATTCTATCTCACTGTTATGAGTAAGAAATCCAACTTGTTCGATATATGGGTATGGTCCTGGCAGTTTAGGCTGGAGGACATTGATAGTCTTTGTTACTCACCTCTTTTCCAGGTAAGCAGAGAAGGAAGCCTAACTGCCAGTTCATAGGTAAGGAAATGTAGCTTCAGAGAGGGTATGCCATTGGCCCAAAGATGGACAGCAAGCCCACAGCAAGTGGCAGAGGCAGGGCTAGAAACCATAGAGCTGATCCCCAGACCAGTCTCTTTCTCCTCTCACATGTAGCTATTTGGGCTCTACTTGTATAGATGCTAAGAAGTGTTCAGAGTAGCAGATGGAGGTTAAACTGCATTCGCTCAAGTTCTAATGAAATGTAACACACTGAAGATGTAAAGTGATATGCCATTTGGTGATTGAAGTGCTCAGGTTTGGAACAAACAGACTCGAGCTTGGATTCTAGCACTGCCATCTAGCACTTGAATCATAGATGGAAAGTTACTTAAATGCCCTTGTCATTAATTTCCCTATTTATAAAATGACAAACGATAATATTACCTGCCTCAGAGAGTTGCTGTGAGGACTAAATGAAACCATGCATGAAAGAACTTAACCTTGCATCTGGCGAAGTAATACATTGTAATAAGTAGCTATTATTATTATTTTGAAACACACCTCTTATAAAATTGTTATGCCACATTGGTAACAACATTACAACAATTACTCAGAATTTGGAATAAGGAATAGCTAATATAGTTGTTTTTTAAACGCTTTTTTGTTTCCTTCTGTTCTTAATTGTTTTTAGTTAAATAGTGAGGTTGGGAAAATAACTAGATACATAATGCAATTTAATTTTCAATACTAATGGTATATTTATTTAATTAATTTGTTTATTAAGTATTAGGGCTCATGCACAATAAAGGAGGTTTGGCTAATAGAAGGAAAACATATTTACAGGTCTATCACCCTAGCAAAAGGAGGAAAAGGAGAACTAGTATTATTAAATATCTATTATAACCTAGGCATAGTGATACCTGTGCCTTTCATTTAATCTTCACAAGAATCTTATGAAAGGTAGGTATTTTTATTTCCATTTCATCTATAATAAACCTGAAGTTTATAGGGTCCAAGAAATGTAAAAAGTCAAGGTCCCATACATAGCAGGTGGTATGACCAGGTTCTAATCCAGATGTGTGTGACATTTTCCATCCCCAAACTTTTCTTCTACCCACAAGACTCTACCAGTTACATTTTATATATTTCTTTCTATCATTTTTATTTGAACTTCAAAGGAGCTTAACACCCGTATATGAACAATTTTCCTTTAATATTATAAAGAAGCTGAAAAACAAACAAAAAGAAGGAATGGGATGTTTTCAGAAAAAAATAAAAGCTATTCTATATAAGATATAAGCACCACAGGGAAAATTGTGCTGGAAAATACAACATTTTGGATTGCTTTCTACATTTTTCTAAAAATGGTGGCAAATACATTTACCTTCCAACACTAACCATTATTTATAACTTTTAGAAAATGACTCATATCACAAAATTCTGAATGCACAAACCAAATAAATGTAAATATCCATGGTGATGTGCTTCCTACGTCACTAAATTACCTCCCTCCTGGAGAACTGGCACTAATTCTCAAAAACTGAAGGCAGCAAAAATGTATCTGTCTTAGTTTCTGAAATTCTGAAGAGCAAGTGAGACCAATCTTGTGTCTTGTGTTTCTGTCTTTCCTCCCCGCGGCTCCTATTCCAGCCTGTTGCTCAATAAATAGCATAGCCCTGACTGACTGACTAAAAACCACCAGACTGCTGAACACAGAGCCAGGTGATTGATTCTCAGAGCAGTCTGCTCCTCAGCTGAGCAGTGTTTTCAATGGAAATCCACTCCTGAACTATCACTCAGAAGCTAAAAGGCAAACTGTGGCTTGCAGATGGCAGAACTCCTGCTCACTTTCTGAACTGGAAAGTGGCTGGCCTTCGTCCTCTTCCTATTTATGTTGGAGTATCAGAGAAAGGCCTGTCCTCCATGGCTAGGAGGACAGAGTAGAGACAGCCAACCCCAAAGATTGTGGAGATAACATCAGTGTAAAATATCGAGGCTGTCTAAGAGACGTGCCAGTCGAAGGATTCCAGACCTGTTTAAGCATAGGAGGGAGAGCTTGGGATGACAGGTGTGAAGGAGTCTATCAAGAGTAGGCTGTTTCTTAACTTCTTTGAGACCATAATGGAGACAAGGAGAGCAATTGAGATACATCAACTTAATCCTGATACCATGTTGGAGTACTGGAAGGAATACAAATGTTGGGAGTGATTCTGAACAGTACCATAAAAATTGTCTCTGGACACAGTTCTAAGTTGAAGTGATCTTAGGTCTAAGAGAAAGAGTGCTCTATTAAATTGAGAGAGTAAACACATTGCAACACAGGTTGTTTAAGGGTCTGAGGAAGAAAAGCCGTCCTGTTTAGGGCCATTCAGAACAGCTGGAATGCTTCTGGGAGGGTCCTCATTCAGGCTGGGGCCTTGAGGTGGTGAGGTCAGTCCCAGTGGTGAGAGACAAGGGCCTCTCCAGAGCATGGCAAGTCTTCAACACAGCAGCAAGGACAGTTTTGGTGTCGTGACTTCTGATGACTCTCTTGGCTATGAAGAGTATGAAATTCCAGTCCCTGCTGCTGAAAAGGATTGGATAGGGAGGAGGACTTGGATTCCAGAAATTCTGCTGGCAGGGACTACAGGCCACAGACTGCTGTTATTTTGACCAACATCCCCTTCGTGGTATCTCAGTGAGCTGATGAAGTCTGAAAATGCAGTTTACTCCAAGAGACAGAGCTGGCAGTAGGCACGACGCAGCTGTTCTGGCAGAGGGGAGGCAGTGATGACTGTTGGAAGCCAGAACCGCAGTGGCAGGGAAGGACAGCGTGGCGTGTGGGGAATGCTGGATGGAGCAGCACATGAAAGGGCCATCTGGGCGAGAGGTAATTCAGGAGAACACATCAGGAGTGAAGGTGGGTCTTTTCTTCTTCATCAGTCCTGAGGGCTGTGCTAACCTCTCTTTAGCAGGATGTGGGCTCTGAGTGGTGACATCTGCCAGCAGTTGGGTAGACTCTAGTCCTCTAGCCCTCTGTCTCTCCTTGCCTCTGAGATTTTCAAGGCAAGAACAATGCCTGGTGAGGATCTAGATCCTTCTATATGCCTGATGTGAGGATCTAGATCCTTCCTCATGCCTGACCTCACACAGCCTTCCTACCACTCTTTCACCTGGGCAGAGAAGCCATATTAACTCTTCCATGTTAGAGAGACACCTTCCTACAGTTCATAAACACATTCTACTGCCACCATCTTGACAAATGATTCCTACCCTTGACAGTTAAGTTTAGTCCTCCATTATTTCCTTAAAACTGCCTTCTCTGAGGTCATGAAGAACCTCTTAATCATCAAGTCCAATGTGATTTTTCTTTCCTTATTTCACTTAAATATTCTACAATCACTGATATTAAACACTCTGCTTCCTTGAAACCCTCTCCTACGGTTATCTCTGACACACACTCTCTCCTGTTTATATCTCTCCCTCTAAACAGCTCACTCTCAACCTGCTTTGCCAGATGTTCTTCATAAATTGTTGGTGCTCTCCAGGATTTCATTCTTTTTTATTTTTAGAGACAAAGTTTCACTCTGACACCAAGGCAGGTGTGGTGAGGTAAACATGGCTCACCATAGTCTTGAACTCCTAGACTCAGGTGATCCTTCTGCCTCAGCCTCTTGAGTAGCTGGGACTACAGGTGTGCACCACCACTGATGGCTAATTTTTACAATTTTTTTTGTAGAGATATAGTCTCACTATGTTGCCCAGATTGGTCCTGAACTTCTGGTCACAAGCGATCCTCCCAATTCAGCCTCTAAAAGTGCTGGGATTATTACAGTTGTGAGTCAAT